CTGTTTGGTACTAATCTAGTTTTTGCTGCTACTAGTACCACTGAAACCTTATCTCCTGTCAATATTCTGGCATATACAACAGATGCGTATGCTTTTATGGACGCATCACAAAAGCCGTGTAATTGGATAATATCTCCGCGCTTGCCTTTTAACCAACGAGGTATTTTAAACTGGCTGATACACTCCATGTCTTCAGTTAACCTGATCCATTCGTTTTTAATTTCTGCCGAGACTTCATCACTCCACTGAATTTCATCCAGCCAAACCTTTTGAAACAGTAATTTGAATTTAGTCGTCAGCGGTGCTAGCCAACCTAAGGGATCAAATAGCCTTGATATTTCTGACAGGAGTTTTCTTTTCGTAAGCTTTGTGGTATCTGCTGATGCTGAGTTATTTTGAAAGGAAAATTCATCCGTTGTAGGATCCCATCTTAAACCTAAAGTTTTTGCTGTTTCCTCCGTTTTAAAAATGAAGGATGTTGCTTGAATATTTTGGTGTGATGAATTTATAGCTCCCATTAATCTCTTATCGTTTCCTGACCATTTTCTAAGTAAAAATCCTCCGCTGTTTAGACACGAATTTAATTCTGCTATAATTCTTTTTCCTTCATCGATAGAATCTGACCCCGAAACTAAATCGTCCATGTAAAAATCTTCCCGAATTATTTTAGCTGCGTTGGGAAAGTTATGCTGCTCATCTGTAGCTAGTTGCCGAAGGGTCATCATCGCCAAGAAAGGTGCGGATTTTGTGCCGTAGGTAACCGTAGTTAACTGGTATGCCTTTATTGGTAGCATGGGATTCGATCGCCAAAAATTAGTTGTAGTTTTTGATCTACTTCGTTAACAACAATTTGCCGAAACATCTTCTCAATGTCGGCGGTAAATACATATCGATATTGCCTCCACTTGAGTAACAATGCCTGAAGGTCTCGCTGCAAGTTGGGACCCCGATGCATTGCATCATTTAGACTACATCCTGATGAGGTTTTCGCGGACGCATTAAATACGACACGTAGCTTCGTGGTCGATGAATCTGCTCTCTGAACACCATGATGGGGCAAATAACATTCCATTTGCTGGCTGGTGGAAGTTGCTAATTTCATGTGTCCCAATTCCTCATATTCCTTTAAAAATTGCTTGTACTGCTGTGAAAAATGTTCTTGTTTGCCAAATTTTTTCTCTAGATTTCTAAATTGGGCTAGTGCTATCTCCTGGGAAGATCCTAATTTTTCCGCGGCATGCTGCTTCATCGGTAACCTTACTTCATAGCGTCCGCTTTCAAGACGTTTAGTCGTTGATAAGTAGTACTCGACACATTGTTCGTCTTCTGCTGATATTTCATTTTGCTCATAAATATCCTCAATTTTCCAAAATTGATGAATGTCCGCTGTATTGTTTAAGATGACATTACAATGAAAGTGTGGCTTTAAACTGCCGCATAGTATCCATCCTAGCTGGCTTTGCTGAGCTAGAGGCGAAGATGAATCCGAGTTTCTTATCAAGCCATCTAACATGATAAGAGCATAGGCGTCTGCTCCGAGTAACAAGTCTACTGGACGGCTTACGTAAAATTCCGGATCTGCCAAGTTAATGTTTTCCAAATGCGACCATGAAGGCCTTTCAAATGAACGATTTGGTAGGTTTTTGATAAGATTTTTCATAATCAAAACATCCGTATGAAATTCAAAGCTATTGTATATCGATTGACATACAATGTTAAGTTTGCCCTTACAGTTAGCATCTTTTTCTCCGATTCCAAAAATGACTCCATCAAATTGCTGTCGCTTCAAACCTAACTGTTGAGCTGCTTTCTCACTAATTAGTGATATTTGTGAACCCTGATCAATAAGAGCTCTCAGTATCAGCGGCGTGTTGTCTGCTGACTTAACCTTTACTAAGGCCGTAGCTAAGAGGACCTCAATATGATGTTGCTGAGATGCATGAACGTTATTGTTTGCCTGAGAGATATTTTCTTCTTGCTTATTGTTATTTGATTTTTGTTTTACTTGACCGGACGTTGAATGCGATTTTTGCTGCACAAAGCATTCATGTAATATAGTATGGTGATTTTCCGAACACTTGCGACATCGTTTTGTTGAATAGCATTTATTGCCGTTATGATTAAAAATGCAATTAATACAAATGTTATTTTGTTTGACGGTTTTAAGTTTCATTTCATTAGGCAATTGAAGAAACCTTTCGCATTTGTATAGACCATGCTCAGCAGAACAAAGAGGGCACTTAACTCCCGACACGTGCATCGATTTCGTAATAGATCGATTCGCCTTGTAATGATCATATTTTCGATTATTTGTAGATGAAGTTGAAGAACCGGTTTGCTGAGAGGACTGTAATTTTGGTGGGACATCTTGACGTCGACGAGCTGATTCTAAGCTAGTAAATTTATTTTCTAAGAAATCTAAGAAGTCTTGTAGCACAGGTAGCTCTCTGGCGTTCTTTAACGACTCTATATATTCGGAATAAGACTCACTATCTAGCTTGTTTGATAAAATATGGACGAGTAGAGGGTCCCACGTTCTAATATCCACACCTAGGTTTTTGATAGCGTGTATACTCTCTAATGTAACGTCATGTAATTTTTTAATAGCTAAAAATGATTGCTGCTGTATAGTGGGAAGATTCAAGAACACATTAACATGGGAAGTAAAAATTAATTTCTTATTGTCAAATCTATGGTTTAGAATATCCCAACAGACAATATAATTTTCAGAGCTGATAGGCAAGTGCTGGATTAAACGCTCGGCTTCTCCTTTAACCTTACTTTTTAGGAATTGCATTTTCTGAGCGTTAGATAATGCTGTATTTTTGTGGATAGCTTCGCAAAAAAGGTCCTTGAATGACACCCACTGCTGATAATTGCCCGTGAAGACGGGAATTTCCATTTTTGGAGTTGATTTTTCACGATAGGACGTTGACCACATTTTAGAGTTGATAGATTTTTTCATCCTGTTGAAAGTTCGCTCGTGTTTGCTAAATTGGAAATCATAGTCCTTTACTAGCTCCTCACCCGACTCGCTAATGATTTCCCAGTGAAGGTTATCAATGGTGCTCCAACGGTTTTGGAGAGTTTGAAGAGCATCTTCGAACTCCCATTTGTCGACTAATGTCTCAACATCAATATTGTCGACAGTTCTTACGAATGCCATAAAGTTAACCGATTGCTTATGAAGCATATCATCAAGCTTGCTGTTGGATCCTCTCGACTCAAACTTCGGAGGCGCGGATGCCATTGTGTTAGGCTCCGGCTGGCTCACTGAAGGCCCCGCCACTTCTTGCTGTGCTGGTTTTGAGTCTGCTGATTGCTGACCCCGTTGACTCAACTCATTTTGACGTTGAAGGATCAGTCTTCTGGCTGTCATGTAAATTTCCTCTGTACGCTCAAATTCCGAGTTGACGAAGTACTTATGATTTGTTTTTTCAAAAGGAAGAATCTTCTCATGATTTACTTGGAATTCCTCCCAATACTTCTCAAGTAGCTCGATTTTACGCTTACAATAGTCAAAAGTTTTACGCTCAACGCTATCCTTTTTGAAATTACTGAGAAGCTTCCCCAAACACTCCGAAATCTCGGATTGATTGAAATACAGAGTCTCCATCTCACTGCTGCTGCTAAAATAAGTAAAATTGAACGATCTTACTTGAGAAAGTTCTGGTTGCTGTTAGCCCGACGAGGGTTGCTCCCCAAGTCAGTGATTCGCTGGTGGTGTTGTTGGTGTGAGGTGTTACTCGGTACGATGTAACGAGCACTTCACTCACTACACTGCTGCTAAAGTCGTTACCACTACAGTCACTGCTAAGCTAGCGAATACTGTAATCAATAGTTTCACAAGTTCGGTACAAGTTCACTTCACTGTCGTAAGTCCCGAAAAACTAAATAAACGACCGCAAAGTACTTGAATCCGGCTCGAAGGACCAAAATGTAGGAGTCGCGACCGAAGTGATATAGACTTGTTACGCTGATAAATTAAATACTTAAATAACTTCAAGGATTTATTGCAAAATCGATAAAATTACGCTAAATGAAATGCTAATGAGTACGAACGCACCCGGTTTGCTGTCCGAATATGTACTGAAGCCACGCTGCACTTAGCGTGTCGTGTTTGGGTCGCTAGATCAGCAAAACGTGTTCGATCGTGGATAATGTATCGAACAGTTATCTTACACTATCCTAGCTAATCTAATATTGAGCGCCCAATATTATTTCTATTGGACCTCGTTAGTAATGAGTCGGATCTGAAACTAACGTGTTTATTCGGCAATCCGCTTGTATTTGTTATATATTAATGAATCCGTTAACTTTGGTAAACTAATGAATTTTACGTGTAACTTAAATTCGCTTGGAATTCTTGGTTGTAGTTTGAAGTCTTCGGTGTCTCAGCACCGATACCTACTACCTCACATTTTATTTTTCTTCGAGGGTAGGCTGGTAATTGGGCAACTTAGAATGAAGCCCGCGAACCTTGATCACACAGTACTCTTAGTCGTACATTGGTTGTCGCTAAAAGCATTGTATCCTGTGTGTAAGGTCCTGGTAGTGGACGTTTGTCCAAGTTGTACCTACTTGTAGTAGGGGTTTTCAACGGTTTTCTGAACCTCTGACCCGTAATTGTAATTTGAAGTCTTCGGTGTCTTAGCACCGATACCTACTACCTCACATTTTATTTTTCAGCTGCTATCACGCCACAATCCTACTGCACAGGACTACCTACTTTATCACGTAGGGTTATCTCGCTGACATGGCATGTTCATGTTTGAACATGAGAAGAGTGACATTATTTTAAGGAGTTGTACTTGAAGCAATGTTTTGATCGCATAGTGCATTGTTTTGTTGAGTTGTTTAGCAATGCAAAACTAGGGAGAGAGGGGGGCCCGGCGACGGCGGCGCCCAGTGCTGGCATGCGCGGGAGTGGGGCGCGTGGAGGAGGCATGCGGGAGTGCGCTCGGCTCGAAATAACCCGTCGTATTTCGGTCGAGCCGCCCCCCGCCGCCGCCCTCGCAGCGCCGCCGGCGCAGCGCGCGTTTCTCGTATACCGCACTATCCGCTAACTATTCGCAATCGACCGACGTCTTGGTTGTTGGACTTGGGTTATAATGACTTGACTTCTGCTAAATGAACCCGTGTACTAGTATAAGTTTTTCGCAGTGGCGTATTTATTTCTTAATACACGAGCGCCGAAACGAGGATTGTTGTACAATAAGGACTAGTAGCGTCGAGTGAGAGTTTTTTGTGCGTTGTGCTGCAGTGGCGGCAAAATGGAGAAGCAGTCGAGGTGGTCGGAACAGCGATCGGAACAGCGCGTGCAGCAGCACTCCGAGCGGCGCGAACAAGTGGTGCAGCAGCAGGAGCGCGTGCAGCGCACCGAACAGCACTACACGCGCCAGATGCTCACGCAGCAAGGTTCGTCCGCTTTCTTGTACTACCCACAACACTCCTACCCTCACATAAAATCATGCTAATAGCATTGTACTTACTGAGCTTTATAATTAAGTCTTACTAACTTTTATCATTGCTAATGCGAATATTTTAATGTCATTATCCTGAAATTCATCATGATTGATTGTACTGTGATTGTGGGGAGCGCGGCGGGTGCGAGGCTGCTCGCGCGCGCCCACGCCTGCGCCCCAGAATAGCCGTCCTATCTCGCTCGCGGTGGAAAAGCGCTATGCACAAATAAAGTTACGCACCAGGAAGAAACTAAAGACACTCGCAAGCGGGTCGCCTCGCGAGACGGCTCGCTAATCGGGAGTCCCAGTTATCCCACATGACCCATTTATGCCTCATAAAAAACAATGATGTTTTTTATCTCAGCCAAATTTGCAATACATAAGCAGCGAATTGTATTTATCTGAACTTGAAGAATGACAGGTGAATTCACAACTGATAACGTAAAGCCTTACAACACAGGTATAGCCCAGCATATTGACTAAATTAAAAACATTGAACCGGCACCAGATCGTGAGTTCGCTCGTCTCTTCATCACGGTTGCATTGCGAACTTGTTTTAGCATTAAGAACTTGTTTACGTATAAGGAGCAAAGTCTGATCCTTATATGGAATCTGAACAAATATGTTTCCATTCAAGGATTACTTTTTACCAATACGGCTACTTTAACCTCTAACTTAAGTTGAACTATCGTACCCAGCCCATAATGTATATACACAACATAACACTAACAATATAAGTTTGCATGTTACTACTTAACGGATTTAAATTAGGTGTTGGGATGGAGATCAACATGTTTGTGTGACGCAAATACTCCTGGATGTTAATCTGATATTTCGAGGTCGAGATTTCCAAAAATATAAATGAAAACAGCTCATCTTGATATTTGATTACCATCAAACAGCTTAACATTTTTTATCGCGCGATATGTCAGAGAATCTTTGTATTTTTTCTCGAAAATTGGCAGCCATACAAATTTTTTATTTTACAATTTGCCGTACATTTTTGTGTGCCATTACTTGTCTTTGGATTTTAGAAATCTTGATATGAAGTTGAAAACATGTATTTTATGTAAGAAAATAGGTAATTGTTATAATGACACGAAATTGTATGGATGTAACGAGGAGACATTCGTCATCGACAGTTGTTCAAACTGAGCGCCGTGTTTAGCTTCAATTACTTATGTAAAACTGTAACAGTGAATACAGCACGATACACACACGCTATCACTTAGACACGTGCGTGACTCACACGTGAAAAACTTGAAGTTGAATCGTACAATACTATCACACAAGACCGTTAACAATATATCAAACTGTAAACAATAAAAATATTAACTTCATTGTAAATTATAAACAATCAATCAAACTAAATATTCGAGTGTGTATTTGCCAGTATACCAAACTTGATTTTTGAAAGCACGATACATGCAAAATGCCCTATACCCACAAATTAAAACACAAGTATTCGATTCTTTTCGACCCATAATAAAACGATACCACATATATGATTGCAGCAGACGCAACAGGGTGGGGCAGATCTAGTTTTTGCTTTGATCAGTTTAATTATCGGTTTTCTATTTCGTCGTATGACTGAGAACTATAGAATAATAGCATCATTAAACTATGACGTGAAAAACGCCGGTAAAATGCCATCAAGCAACGTTTTCACTCTTTCTTCGCGATCGACGCTCAATAGAAACGGTATAAAATACCCATCTTCGTGAATCACATTCACTTTTTACATTGAACAAACAACATAGCATGTATGCAATGGGTGAATGGATGCAATCGATTATTTCATTTGAAGCTATGTCAATATGACGTATCATGTGACATTGAGATTGATATAATGTAACCGCTACAGGCTGCTAAGAAATGTATTCATTCGGTACATTCCGCTGGACTAGATGATTATAAAAGTGCGCTTCTCGGCCAACGGTCGGCGCCATAGCTAGATGATCATCTCGATGTGTTTCTGTGTTCCGTCTAGCGCGTAGCTGGAACGTGTTCACCACCCATTATAACGTAACAAGTTAACTGTAGCGCGTCGCGGTGCCTGGTGCCTGCTCATTACTCCACAACAAAAATTATACGCAACTAAAACAAAAAATGATTCGCAAGATTACCTTGACTAAGCACGTCAGTTTGTTTATAATGTGTTGACTTTTAGTTTACATTATAAATAAAAAATAAACTAAACTCTAATCAAAACAACAAATATTGTACTAAGTTTCTTTCTTACCCAAGTATCAAATTACGAATGAATTGATGTACTGACATCAATATTAGAAACAAATCATTAAAATGCATCTCGAGTAAAACTTACTGCGTTAATGTGAAAATAATATTCGCGTAGATCAATGCCATCAATTTCCAGTCCGGGAGCGGTACGGTGATTTAAATTTCACAACGAAAGCGCAAGTTAAAACTTTCGACCACGCTTACTCCATGGCTGGGAACTATAGATAGATAAGAAATTATTCACGATGAATACTTCTTTGAACAGCTGATTCACTACAAAGCATTAGAAAACACTTCTTGCTCAAATGGTCATTGTTAAATACATATATCTATATCTATATATATATCTATAGTATATAATTATATATATCTATACGATTATATTTACGTATTTTATGTATGCTTTTGATACCCTTTTTTTTATTTGGATAATTACCACTATTTCTCATAACAGTTTTGCAGCTTATCACCTACCACATACATTTCTGCACTACCCAAAGGATGACTGGCAGAGAATGCTGTTAGCATTAAGTCTTCCTTATGCAATTGTATAGAACTTAAATAAAAATAAAAAAAAAATAAAAATACAATGCGATCGCTTCATAGTATGATATTCCGTGAATTTTCTGACTAACGATTATTATGGAGACACGGATGTTAGTTGACATGCAGATAAGTCACGAATCGTAAACTATTCGAAAGCTCGAACTCACATACACACATCGTGGTCAAGATAATGAAATTACGTTCTGTGTCGAGTTCACCGTTCGCAAATAATATGTAACACGGACGAGACAACAGCAACAGTGTTCATAGCGCACTTACTTTTACCGGCTGCTCTTATCTCCAAATTTATAATCAGAGAGAACAGTTAAGACCGTGGTCGGTGGAGCCACTTTCGCTCCGTCCGTAATGATTTGCCTATAGAGTTACTTAAAGCGTTATTTTTTTACGATTGTATTATAATTGATGACGGCTTAAATAGTCATACTGTTAAGCTTCGAAACTCTTTTTAAATTGAACGAATAGCAAACTCGTTATTACTTAATACTTTCATACTTGCATTCGTTTGTAATTAGCTGTCAGCAAGATACTTAGTAATTAAAACTATTGACAATAAGGATTAATGTTTATGTGATCTTAATTATTCATACATATATCAAGGTTATCCGAGGTTAATTTGTAAAGAATGTGTTATTATTCCTAGCAAAGTAATAGGAAAAATATATTAAGGATAGGTTCTGCTTTAGTAATGCATTTAGATTTGAATGTTCTTCATAATAATATATTGATAATCATTCGGTAGAATAACACCTCGGAACGCACGCATCATATAAATTGTATAATTAATTGGTTAACCTACCTAGCTTATGTTTATCTAACTATACGGTTCGTGCTACCGAATAAACTCCCTTTTACCCATTGGATGATAGCCAGTTATCGCTATAGTTCTTTTACCAAAACTAGATATAATAGTATATGTACGCATGTATTTTTATACAACACCCATAGATAGTATCATTACACTTATTTATGACCATATACATACCTATTTGCAAAAACATATTCAAATGCATCATAGTGCAATTTTAGTAAAAGTTCCCTTAAATATATCGTTTCTGATGTATCTATGCAGTCGCGCGGAATGCAAGTTTAACTTGACTTACTCCATCAAGAGCTTTAAATACATCAATTTCGGTTATTCCGTCTTGTGTAGCGTTAAATGCAAAGTTACAGAATATACACCTTGTTTGATGACGTGGAGAAACCTTTAAAAGAGGACCTTCAAGGGAGAAAGATTAGTGAGTGTAGGATTCTTACGTCATTAAAACCTCCCCGGTCCCACACCAATAAGAGACACAGGATACTTTTAATAGACCAATCCCGGAGACCCGACGAAGCAACACATATTACGCCACATCCCTGAGCTGTATCTCCCTTGGGGCTGGCTGTGCACCAATGTACCATAATCTTCCCTAATATCACTCGGTGGGTGCCTACAGTAACTACTCTATGCGCTCGTGGCCCCAAACGAAGAACATAGACATATGCCACCAACAATATAGTGCTGTCACGGGCACAGTGGTACATAAGACAAGTAGCAGAGTTTGATGACAATAAATCCCTCTTTAAATAAGTTCTTCTTCTTAATATTTTTTGTTTAGTATTTCGCCATACAATACCAATAATATAATGTCTGTGGGTAAGCACATTAAATAACACAATTAATAATAAATGTTCCTTAGTTGTGTTATCAATATTTATTAGTTCGTTCCCATTATTTCTAATGTCGTATCATTGTCAATAATGTTTTGTTTTTTTTTCAAACAAAATAAGGTCGAGTATCCAATAACAAGCAAAATTTGTCAGTAATGGGAATAAAGAAAGTGTACCTACAAAGGATAATTTGTCAGCATACATTATTCTTGGAGAAATAATATGTTAGGAAAGAAGCTACTGTACATTTTTATAGAAGGTTTTTGTAGTTAAAATGCCACGTAAATAAATATACGTGTAGGTAGGTATTATATTTATCTAAATTTTGGGCACTGCAACTAGATAATTTTGAAAACTGATCACGTCGTATTTAAATTCATGAATTAACTGATAATAGTCGAATTGTCTTCGTTTTACTGAATCTACTCAGTTTATTAACAATCTACAGATGTACACGCACTCATTGTTCAGTAAACAAATAGTGACAGATACATA